TATACGAAGGTCAATTTGGTGAACTTAGACACGAAGATTATTGGCCATCTTACACGGGCCCAATTTTGTGTCCAAATCTAGAACTGGAAAGAACTTCAAATGGTCAACCCAAGTCCAGTAGGATAAAAATAGAGATGGACATTAGAGAACAATAAAGTCGACCAAAAAATTGTTCTTATTGTCATACCCTGGTCACACAAGGAAGACATGTTCAAACATCGCTCAAGCTTCTAGTTCCCGCCATTGATTTTTATTGTTGTTATTATTTTAAAATTTTCTTAATGTCATTTTTAATTTTATGAATCTCATTGCAACTTTTAAATTTTTAGTATTTGTAATTTATATTAAATATATAATTATATATATAATATATCTACATAATATTATTTTATTATATTTATTAATATTAATAACATTTTTTTTAAATAAATAATTATGTATAAATTTTAGTAAAGATTAATATTTCAAAATAAATAAATAAACTAGTTATGATTTAATACTTTTATTTATTTATAAATATATAAAATTAAATAAATTATTATTATAATATTTATTTTATACAAATTTAAAATTAAATAAATTATTATTGTAATTTTAATTTGTTTTATAAATATAATATTAAATAAATAAAAATATAATTTTAGAATATAATATTAATATCATTTTCAAAAAATTAAAATTATATTAAATAATATAATTTTGATTAAACATAAATATTATTTATTATCTTAAATATGTCAAATAAATTTTAATAAGCATTTAAAATTAATATTAATATTATTTTTATTATATTTATTATAAACATAAATTAAATAATAAACCTTATTTTATTATATATAACTAATAAAATATTTATAAATATTTATTTTAATAAAATATAAATAAATAAATATATAAATGTAATTTAAATAATAATATTTATTTTATTATATTAGAACATAAAATAAAATAAAATAAAAAGGAAATAGCAACTCAGAATTCGATTCCCAGATAATCAAATTTTGGATGCCAATAGCTTGCATCGAAATTGGGTCTACATCTATAAATAAAATGGCTAAAGTGGTATTTGAGTAATTTTATTTTATTTTTTACAATATTCCTCTAAAAAAACTCACTATCTCAAGTAATTAATAATATTAACCTCGACTCTATCTTTGAGGTACCTGCTATTTCTTACTTTTCTGCTTCAATGATATTTGGAGATCATCAAACCCAGGGCACCATATAAATTAAAACTTTAATCGATTAACCATCTGGAAAGGCCTCTATTTGACAACAATCGTATTAAATTTATTTTTAATATAGGCTTAAATATATTTTTATTTTTATATTTTTATAAATTTTTTGAAATATTATTTTTTTAGTTTTAATCTCAAATTTTTAAAATTCAATATTTTTAATCCTAGTATGATGTGACTCAATAAAAAATTGACACATAAAACAAAATTAAATACGAATTAATTGTATAATTAGTCACATCATTATTAAAAACTAAAAAAATAAAGACTAAAATTAAAATTACGTAAAAAAAATTTTGACATATATTATATAATCATTTGATCATACACACGTGTGTGTTTTTACCGTTAGAGGTCATTGGCAAATGGTCTGGGCATGGAGCCGGCGGCATTTACTCGTACTTCACGGTTAAGTAGCATTGCCATTAGGGATGGCAATGGGTAAAGTACCCGATGGGCACCCACAAAATTTACCCACAATGGGTAGGGTATTTACCTGCTATACGGGTACGGGTATGGGTGTGGGTAAAAACCCACAAATTTTAATGGGGATGGGTGCGGGTATGGGTATTTAAGTACCCACCCCGTCCCATACCCGCATATATATATATGCTTAAACTTTATTCTATAATTATGAATTGAATTTTTGTATTATTATATTACTTATGTGAAGTTATATAAGATTAATATAAAAATATATTTAATAATAAAGTAAACCAAAAAATTTATTTTGGTTTATATTTTTAATAAAAAAATTTATTTACTATTTTATATCATTTAATTAGGCTAACACAATTTAATTATTACATAGTTAATATGAGATTGACTTTTTTTAAAATATTATTTATATATGACACAAAATATTTTTTACACAAATATTTTTATTAATAAAATCATATTGATGATTAAATCATAAAGTGAATGATAAATAATAAATATATTATAAATTTTACAATCACCTACTATTACCGTAAACTTATTATTTATTAATAATATTTAAATTTTATTTTTATATTTTAATTTAAAATAATATTTTTTTATGCAACATATGTATTACAAGCACAACTATAATCTATTGAATCTAAATAATATTATTCTTACTATTTATTCACATTCAAAGAAGTTTTTGAAAAGATATAAATATAAAAAAATTATTGTTAATTTTTATTTGTTAATTTTTTTAAGATAAAAAAGTATAATTTTTTTTAATATACACGTATATTTCTTTATTATAAAATTTTATTGTAACTATTTATCTTTTATTCAAATTTTTTTAAAATTTATATATATTATAAATATTTAATTCACTAAAATAATTTTTTTAAAAATTATATTTTTGATAAAATACTTTCGTATAGTATATGAGTTAAAAAATACTAGTATTAATATATATATATATATATATATATATATTATTTATTATTTTAATTAAATCTATTATTTTTCTTACACTTTCAAATTCAAAAGTTAAAAAAAATATTTTATGTATCAACTTTCTATCGTTAGTATTGAACTTCTCTACTCTAACTCTATTCACATTCTCAATGTCTGTCTCACTAAAACTTAATAACTATAAAATGTTATTCATTAGAGTTAGTTTTTAATGCCGTCAGAAGAGGTTACTAAGTGATCCCACACGAAGGGACAACCATTGTACAGATCTATTTCGTTGTCGTTCTGACATTACCAATCAATCAAATCTCACACAAGATAGGATTATCACTGACAAATAACTTGTGTGTTTAGTTTTGCTTATTGTTTCTAAGAATTTTAGTCTAGAAAATTATTATATTAAGATACATTTAACATTTATGATCTTTGAATATTTGTTTTTTATCTATATTTGTACCTTGTTCGACAACTACATATTGAATTTTTGTATTATTATGCTACTTATGTGAAATTATATAAACATATTTTTCTTTATAAACATTTTTTTTCTCAAACAAGCGCGGGTAATGGGTACAAGACGGGTATGCGGGTACCCAGAGGGTACGGGTACGGGGATTAATGTTCATACCCACGCCGGTATGGGTCCGGGTACGGGTATTTTTTTAAAACGCGGGTATGGGGATGGGTACTGTAGTACCCTACCCATACCCTACCTATTGCCATCCCTAATTGCCATTTATATTACGCAGGGCACATGTCGGGCATGCGGGGACAATGACACGTGATTGCGGGCCTTACACCCTTGAATTTAAAATTTATTAATGTTATCGACGCGATATTTAATATATTTTTTTATACACTTTCTACTTTTAATGAACGTTTATTAAAAATTATAAAAATATGTGAATTTATTTTTATTTTAAAATTAATGTTTCTTTTTATTTTTAATAAATTTTAATTGATAATAAAAAATGAGTTAAAGATATTTTTTTAACATTCCTCTTTAATATTTAGATTCTATTGTGATCATTTGATCAATTACGGAATTAGGATTCTTTGCAATTCAAAATAAACCGAAGGATATCTCATTATTTTTTTACTAGCTAAAAATAAATGTTGACTAGTTTCGGCATATTGTTTTACAAGAAAGGCTACTAACAAATTATTTAATATGTTTTAAAATTATTTTTTTATTAAATGAAAATTTAAAATGGAAATTATATGAAGTTTTAGTTAATAATAAAGGAATATAAAAACAACATGTTTTTAATGTGCTACCGTCAGGAAAATCAAGCATGTGTAACCCATTTATTTTATAATCCTTTTTATTTTATTTAAAATTTAGGAAATATAGTTAAATATTAATGTGTTTGGTTAATTTATTGTATGTTTAAAAGGATTCGTAATAAGTTGCCGAGAACAAAAAAAGAAGATTCATACTAAAATGGAGAGAAAAAACTTCCAATTTTTTTTTCAATTTCAAATTAAGCAAAATCAAACCTGTGTTGCCCGTCTATTTTCCGTACAGGACCTATCTGCTTAGTACGGAATCTTTTTCTATAAGGAGTGATAAATTTAGCCTTTATCCAGTCAATTTGTAACGTTACCATACATGAGAGAAAAGTTACAAAGTAATTTACTGATGCAATAACTGAAACTTTGTGAATTTAGAGCATTTTGTTTTAACAAGTAATATAAAAAATTTGGAAAAAAATTAAATATCAAGTATAAAATTTTTAAAAAAATTTACATTAGATAAACTCTAATAAATTTACCGCTTAGTCTATTTGTATTAATTGTTTATCATAATTTTTTAAAAAAATTATCTTTTTATCTTTTCTCATTAGTTAAATAGTATATTTATTAGAGTTTATCTTGTGCAAGGGTGTAGAGGTTAGAAAATTCAAAAATTAATTATATATTTAACAATTAAAGAATTATAAACACAAAAGATTAAGAATAAGAAAGCGGTGACAAGGGTTTTTACCGGAAATTAAACCAGCTGGGGTCCTTGGCAATTGGACAATAGACCACGCGAAGGATGATTATTTCCCCAGTTAACAGAAGACTCCATGGTCATGTAATTCCGATTGGCACGCAGCGAAACAGCGACACGTTGGTGGATTTTGACCCTAGAATTCTTTATCGTCATGGCACGTTGCTATTTGTAGCCATTTGCTTAATGCCAATAATTGCTGTCGGTAATGGAAATTCTAGTGGTAATAATTCTTCATTATTAATTCAAAAGGGTATCCAGGTGACCAAATTACACTTCTTCATCTTTACTCTACCAGTGTGAGGCAGAGGCAGAGGCAGAACCACTCATTCCCATCCCTTCATTCATCAAATTTACAAAGGGAAGTGCCCTTAACACAACAGCATCCATGCAGAAATTCATATCTCAAACATTCAAGAAACTGCTGGCGGGTCCTTCTCTTTTCAAAAAGGGTCCAGTTGCGGCTTACACTTCTCTGCTCTTTCTTCTTATCCTGCTCACCGCTGCCTTCGTCTCTTCCTTCTGGGTTGGTTAACACTCACCCACTTCAACCATTCATATATACTTGCCTTTTCATTTTGGTATTATTATGTGTTCCTGTTGCTGGCTAATTGCAGTGTTTAGACTTCAGATATATAATGTATCCATTTGAGCAATAATATATGTTTAATAACTTTCATTTGATAAGTAATTGGGTTAATATCTTGCAGTCTACGCTTCCTACAGCTAACACAGCGGCAAGCACAATTGCCAACAAAATCTTAGGGGGGACTGATTCTGCAAAGATAAAAAGGTTCGAGCAAGCGACATTAAATTGTAGCATTGAGAATAACGGAACATGCCCAAGTAATTATTACCCAACGACAAGGTTTGAAATGGAAGAGGAGGGAGGCGTGTGTCCGGAGTACTTCCGGTGGATCCACGAGGATCTGAGGGCGTGGAAGGAGAAGGGGATAAGCAGAGAGATGGTGGAGATAGCGAAGAAGACGGCACATTTTCGATTGGTGGTGAAGAAGGGTAGAGCGTACGTGGAGAAGTATAAGAAATCGATACAGACACGTGACGAATTTACGATATGGGGCATTCTGCAACTTCTGAGGAGGTATCCTGGGAGGGTGGCAGACTTGGAGCTAATGTTTGATTGCGATGACTTGCCTGTGATCCATGCCCGCGACCACCATGGCCCCAATATCACGGCCCCACCACCTCTCTTTCGCTATTGTGGTGACCGCTGGACTGAGGACATCGTCTTCCCTGATTGGTCCTTCTGGGGTTGGTACGCGATAATTTTTATCATGCTTCTCCTTATGACTTTTAGTTTTTCATATAATCATTTTTTTTATATTTTTCAAATTCATTTTAATATGTTCATTAATCAAATTTTCATGTACTATTTCAGGGTTGATAAATTAAACCAGTTTTTAAATACAAAATTCAAAATACATTTCTATGTTTATTTTTAAATTTAAATATTAATATTTTATTATTGATAATAAATATTTTAATTTATTAAATATTATTATATTTAAATATATCATTTAATCTAAAAAAGCATATAATATGATGAAATTTAAGTAATTTTAACATTACTTTTGTCTAAAATACTTTTAAAAATGAGAATATATTTTTTTTTGGGTGAGATACGTTTAAAAATTAATAACAGTAAAATTTTATTTTTATAATTTTAATATAATAAATATATTTTTAATAAAAATATTTATAAATATTTAAATTCAGTATTTCTTATTTTTTTTATAGATAAATGGGCTAAACTATTTAAGGCGTGAAAGATGGTAGGCCCCCGGCAGAGTGCAGTGTGAAAAAGAGTATAATGGTGACAGGCTTTACAAGACTCCAATTCCCTGGCGGCTGTGCAAAGGATACAGCTAGCCTTTCCAAACTCACGTTACCCACTCAATCACTATGAATTTATTCCTTAGTAAAAATTAAAAGTACAATTTTTTAATTTTTTTAAATATTAAAATATATAAGTTTATATGTAAAAAAATAAAAATTATATTTTTATAAATTATAAACCTGTTTAAACATGTCAAATTATATTATTTTTATGTGTAAAAATTATATTAATGTAATATTTTTTATCATGATACTTATTAGTTTTTTTTATGTCTTTCTTAATTGTAAAAATTATTAGGAAAATTATTCCGGAGGAACATTTCTTACTAAGATGTAATTGATTGAGATTTTCTCATTCATGTGACCTAACACTCTTAAATTTTCTATTTTGACAACCCCATATTTTTGTCATACCTTTTTTTTTTCAACCTTTAGTATAGGTAATTTTTTATGTCTATCTTACCCCTTTTTCTATGTTATATTTTTATTTCATTTTTTATTTTCAATAGATACCTTTAGTGTAGATAAAAATAAATTTTTATGTGAATTGAATAATTATCAAGAAAATGCTAACTCAATATTTAAACTTAAATTTAAGCAATTAAACAATATTATCAAAATAATATTTATTATATTTAAAAATATAAAATAATAATTATATCAAGTTTATTACTTAAATCATTAAAAATAATTTTATATATAGTACTATATATTAGTTTGTTTTAGATATATACTCATATGTAAAATTTATTCTAAATATAAAAGAAATATTTAAAAGTGTCTCAAATTAGTGGTATAATAAGTAATTTTTCCATTATATTGGCATTACGCAAAAATTTTGGGCGTGGGAGGGAGGAATCTTTTCATAGTTTGTGCCAAAATGAATTTGATGGCTCACTGGACCACGTAGATCTACACATGGGCTGATTGGAATGTTCCTAAGCTGTTTTTTTGTTTTTTTTTCATTTATAGGTCAATTAATTACATGTCAGAAATCTTAACAGTTCTGTGAAAATTAAGAGTGAAAATAACAATACTTCTTAACTTGAAGCATTTGGGGTGGGGCTGCTTGGAGTGAAAAGAAAGTCAGGATAAATTTTTTATTTTTAAATTATATAATATTTATGATAATAATTAATATATTATATTTATACTAACTTATTATTTTATTTTTTAAATTTTAATAAATTATTTAAATAAAAATATAGTTATTTAAAATAATAATGTCGCCCTCAAAATTTTCTTTATGTATGGCAATAGCTGTACAAATAATGTTTAGTGAATTGAAAAATATATTTTATTTTAAAATTTTTAAATATATATAAGGATATATAATAAAAAATAAAAAATAATGTTTTTTATTAAAATTATAATATTGAATGTATTGATGTATTAAATTTTATAATTTTTAATACATTTATTATATATAAATTTGTATTATATATTTTTAAACATATATTGAATGTCGTTGGTAATAGTTTTGGTTACCTATGCCATGTCTCATTGTCTTCTTATTCAACAGATAATGGTATAGGTTAGTTTATTGTTGAGTATTGGTTTTGATACAACCCGTAATTATATTTAATATTATACTTGATCTTATTTATCTATTATAAAAAATAAATTTTATTTTTGTATAATAGTTTAATATAATGATAACTATTATTATTTTTCTAATATATTTTTTATAAAAAATTCTAAGTATAATAAAAATAATTTGGTTAACATTTATTTTTATGGCTTATTTTCAACATTTACAAATATTAATTTTTTATTAAAAGTAAAAAATATTTATTAAATTTTTTGTATTTTTTATAATAAATATTTATTTTTTTATAAAATTATATTACTATTGAATATTTGAAATCAACCTTAAAGGTTGGCTAATATTTTTTTATTAAATAAAACATGTATATGGTTGATATTTTTTACAAACGTACTCAACTTTTATTTTAGTAATACGGAGTTGGAATAATTATTTTATAGAAATTGATAGATAAATTGATAATTTCTATTATTTTAATTAAAATATTTTAGAATAATTATTAATAATTAAAAATATGTTTATAGATTATGATTTTATGAAATTTAAATTATGAAATTGACAAAAATACAAAAATAAACACTAAAGTTGAATTGTAAAGATTTTAAATTGAGATTAAATTTTATTATTTATCTTCTTCTATATTTTGATAATAAAATATATAAAAAAATATTTTATAAAAATAGATGCACTCTCTCACTATTTTCTTATATCAATTCTTTAAATACAAAATTTCTAAGAGTATTTTTTAAATAATAATTTTTTATATTTAATAAATATTACCGCATTAAAGATAAGAATTAAGAAGCAATCAATATATTAATATATGGAGTGAATTTTATTCAATTCGATTTTAAGAATTGGTTTTCAACTAAACTTTAAATTCTAAATTAAAATATTATCAATTTAAATAAAATCAAATATTAAAACAGTATGAAAACATAAAATTTTATAAAAATAGAAAACTATATATATAAATTATTAAAATACTTTAAATTTAGTCGCTTATGAGACAACAAAATAAATAAATAAAAGGATAAAAAATAGTTCTCCAATACTTTTTCACTATATGCCTCTTGTTGAGTTTTATTCTTTCTTACTTCCTTTCTTTCTTCTCTTATTCTTCTTTTTTAAATTATGATTTAATGGATTCTCGTTTGCTTAAACTAAAATGAGATTTTTGTTTAAATTAAAAATTTTCACTTAAACTAAAATAAAAAGATTTTAATTTTTATTTCTTACATTTTTTGTTTAGACAATAATTCATTTTTTTGACAAAAAATTTGACAGATTCACTTTTTTCTTTTTTTAGTGTCTTTCTTCCTTTCTAAGTTCATGTAAAAAAAAAAATTCAATAAAAAAGGATTAAGAAAAACTTTCATTTTTGTTTTTAAATTAAAATAATTGGTTAATTCAATTTCTTTCTAATTAAAATAAATAAATATCCTAACTTATACTACAAATTATAAAAACTTGTCACTTATTATATACTAGTTGAGTAAATTAAAAGTAAAAAAGAAATCCATTAATAAGGAATAAATTAAAAATGATTATGTTTCTTAGTTTGTGTATTTTTTTATTTTTTTTTGGGTAGATGATTAAATAAGGTAAAAAAATAGTTTACCTTTGTTTTTATATATGTTATAAAATGTGAGTTTTTATTTTTTGTGTTCATTCCTTTAATCAAAATGGAAATTGTTATTTTAGGGCCGAGATTAATATAAGGCCTTGGGAACATTTGCTGAAGGAGATAGAAGAGGGCAATAAAAGGATTGAATGGGACAACAGAGAACCATATGCCTATTGGAAGGGAAACCCTTTTGTTGCTGAAACTAGGCAAGATCTTCTCAAATGTAATCTTTCAAGCGAACAAGATTGGAATGCTCGTTTATTTGTGCAGGTATATTATATAGGATCTCTTACATATCAAATGATGACATTTTCCTTCTCTTGAATTAACATTTGTAACATACTATATATGTAGGATTGGATTCTAGAGTCCCAACAAGGATTCAATCAGTCAAACTTGGCAAACCAATGCACGTATAGGTAGACTTGTAGTGCCATTTGGGTCTCGCTCGAATTGTTTAGTTTTTTTGTACTTCCACGCACAAAGGCTATCACATAACTGATTCTTTTTTTCCCTATCAGATACAAGATTTATATTGAAGGATATGCATGGTCTGTGAGTGAGAAATACATTCTAGCCTGTGACTCAGTTACTCTATTGGTGAAGCCTCGTTTCTATGATTTCTTCATAAGAAGCTTACAGCCAACGCAGCATTACTGGCCTATACGGGACAATAACAAATGCAAATCCATCAAACATGCAGTTGATTGGGGCAACAATCACAAGCAAGAAGTGAGTCTCGCTCTACCGTTTGTTTGCATCGATTTGTTGATGTTTTGAAGTAATACATAACATGTGCATCAACAGGCACAAAAAATTGGTAAAGCGGCGAGCAAATTCATTCAGGAAGAGCTAAAGATGGATTACGTGTATGACTACATGTTCCATCTGCTAAATGAATATGCGAAGTTGCTCAAGTTTGAGCCAATAGTGCCAGAAGGGGCTGTGGAACTCTGCGCGGAGGCCATGGCTTGTCCAAGAAGTGGGTTTGAGAATAAGTTTATGAATGAATCAATGGTTACGGAACCGTCAACAAAAGCCCCGTGCTCTTTGCCTCCTCCGTTGGATCCCACATCGCTCAGGATTTTTAATGGCAACAAACTCAATTTAATCAGGCGAGTTGAGACGATGGAAGATAATTACTGGAAAAACGCCACTGAGCAATTGCACACACAAACTTGATTTAATTTAATCCCAATAATTAGCTGTAGAAATTATAATTTACACTAGGCACGGTACCCACTGTTATTAGTCATCATGAGACTACTGTTTTGGACGAAGAATTCTACAAATGCAAAAGCTAAAAAAAAATAAAATACGTTAATTCAAATTAGAGATTTTGTTATGTTTGGTCTCGGGATACTTACTCTGGAAGAGATTGAGAACCTGGATAGAATTTATTCATTTTATTTGTTAATTTTAGATATATATGAATCCCTAACTAATATCCAAATTGAGATCGACTAAATTTAGTTAACGACATTTGAGCACGTACAAAAATAAATTATAAAGTACTTGATGTAAGAAAAATCACATTACTTATTAAAAAATGAAATAAATCTCAAAATGCTCTCGTTTAGAAACAAGTATTCAAATTTTAGTGTAATGATTTGTTTTTTTATTAGCAATAGTTAAATATGAGAGGATATTATATACTTTTTTTAAATTAATTGGTGTGATTCTTTTAATATCTTAAAAATTAAGGATATTTATTTTTTTTAAATAAATTATTAATTTTACTCTTTATTAATATAAAATTCATGATAATAATTATTTTATGGATGTGAATGTCTTCTTAATTTGAAATTCATACTAAAAATAACCATTTTTGAATTCAACGTTTCTGGGAGCTTGAAAGAAAAGTGACATACATTATTTGGGCTTATTCTGAACTAACTTCTATTCGTGAAACGAGCCGAAGACAAATATACCAAAAGGAGACGGAATAGGATTAATACCAAACCAGCCCACTAATAAAGAATACCTGGAAAAGAAGAAAGTTCTTCGAAGCGGACACTACCTTTCGTTTTTTGGGTAAACGTATCATAAAAAATGTATTTAATACATCACTCTCCTAAAAATTTAATTGCAGAAGGTTAATTTTAAGATTTATCTTGAAATTTAATTTTAAAATCATTATTATAAATGATTTAAAAATCATTTTTAGAATTATATTTTCTTAGAGATGATAAAAAAAAATGCTATGATTAACAACAAAAATAACACAGTATGCAAAAATAATCGATAAGTTCATATTTTGATATATTTTATTATTTATATTTATACACTTAAACTTTATTTTATATATATTTACATTAATTATGTTATTAATTGTTGTAATTTAGCTTGAAGTTGTTATTAGTACATTATGGAAATATTCTGAAGAAAAATTAGATACTTTTAGTGCTGAGTTTGAATTTAAAATTTAAACTTAGATAAAGATTTGGAACATTTTTCAGTTAAGATTCTGATTGTGAATAAAATTAATTTGAAAAGATAAAGCTCAACAAATTGGAAACTCAAGGCACAATCTATATAAAGAAGCCTTATGCTTCACACTTGACAGTTTCACTTATCTACACACCTTCTTTCTCTTCTTAGTTCTATCAAAACTCATCTTTGAGAGTCATTAGAGACTATTGGCAAGGACGACAAGCTTCTCCTTGGAATCCAGATAAGTAATTGAGCGCCCTTTGGTGTATGAGAATTTTTTTATCTTCTATCTTTTTAGGTTTTTTTTGTTTGAGTTTTCTTTTGTGGTTATGAGTTTATTTATCACATTCTTTGCAGTTTATTTTGTTATGAATAATTAAACTTATAGTTAGGACTATAACAGATCTTACTACAAACTTTATGTGATTTTTACTTTAATGTTGATATTGGTTTTCTTTTAATATTTGGTTTTATTCTATTGGATTATATTGTGTATATTAAGATTTGATCAACCTTAACATTCAATGTTAGTTGCATTGTAGGAGATCGTATCACGTGTAATTAATAGAATTATAGGGTAAAATGAGATAAGGGCTAGGTTAATCATACTTAATTCCTTTCTTTCAGATTAACAAACTCATAGGGTCTTCATGCTTTCTCGACCAGTAACCTTGCATGATCATTGGGATTGTTTATTCAGAGAAAAAAATATTGACATTGCATAATCATTGGGTATTAATAGAACTAGTTATGAGTAGTTGGGAAATATTTGAATACCAATATCAGGGTTAAATTAATTAGAATATAAAAAAGTGTAATAGGTGAACTCATAAGTCTTAGGCTCATCTCATCTGATCTCTTTGATACATTATATTACTGCTCTTTTAATTTATTGTTAAAATTAAGCTCTATTTTTGGTCTATTACAATCCTGTTACGTTTAAACAATCGAATCAAGCTATTCTTGGCACTTAAAAATAATCTGTGTAAGACAATAAATTGAAAACTCTTTATTACTTTTCGATGGGTACACTTGCTCATGAATAGTAATTTTCTCTGCAAAGGTATAGCCGGAATCACATTAGAATGTGGACTTAGCTAGTGGGGAAACAACAATATAATAGACAAAAATACTAAAGTACGCAGTGAAAATAATTTTTTTATCTTGTAAGAATCAACGAGGAGCAACAACAACAAAAAAGAATAATAAGAATCACAAAGAGACATAAATATTTTTAATGCGAAAAAACTCCCTCAACGTGAGAAATAAAAACCCACGAGTACAAGCCAGTAAATCAAGTTCCATTATGATCAAATAATTGGTACAAGAGAGTCTAATCAAATGCACAAATAAGTGCTTACAATCAACCAATATATCGAAACAATAAAGCTTCTAATTTGAAGAATCATAAAAATAGAGCAACCGTACAAAACTGATTTCTCCAACTACAGACTTCTAATCTATGATCCCAACAGTTAGAACAAATAATACTATGTTATGAACCCGTTGTCAAATTTTTAGCCTAATCCAATAATGAACGAAGTGGAAATCATGATTTTAATGAGGTTAATATGCAAACTAATTTTTCTGCTCTCTTTTTCTCTTCTTTCTCTCCCAAAAGGCTGTGAAATTATCACTCTCTCCTATTCTGAAAAATCCCTCTCCACTTACATTAAGTGAAATAAAATGAACTTGACAAGTTTAAACTTTTTAGATATATAATTAGAAGCTCAACCCATCGTTAGCTTCATTGGTTCAACGATTTGATCTTTTAATTACAGGTCTGACTTCTATGCATGCTGTTGGCCTAATCCAAATTGGCGAGAAAAATGAAAAAGAAAATCCCAACCAAAGAAAGAAAAAAAGGAAAATGACCAATCTTTTTTAGGGAAAATGGGAAGAAAAGGACCTGAGCAATTAATAACTGGTTGATGGGGCAGTTTATATAGAATGTAACACAACTTAAAAACGAAAAATATTTAAAAGTGGTCCCATTTCTGAGTTCACAAACTCAATGTACATTGTTATTCCGTGGCAGTCAACATATGCAATTGAATTTACGGTACTACTCCACAAGGCTATTTACTGAGGTAGTTAAACGAGAGAAACAATAAACATGTTAAGCTTAAGATAAGGTTAAGAAACAAAACAATATATATGTATTTTTTTTTTCCAACGTGACTGATAATATAAGGTCATTGGTACCGCACGAAATCATTTAATGAGTCACCTTGCAGCCTTGTGACCGTCGTACAATGGGGGAGGGTATGAGTAACATGTTCCGCCATTCCATTGTGTAGTTGTATGCCCCTTCTTTAGCAATTGAAAGTAAAGTTATGAAGATATAATCTACTGGTTTAATATCTTATGGTGCTTCTTAGCTATTTCTTCTAATTAATCCAACGTCAAATGTGTTTTTGGAAACGATTAATAATGTTTATATCCTTGATTTTTAATATGAAGTACGCAATCTTGTTTGTTAGTGTTATGCTAGGTGAAGAGAAATAGTGTCTTGGGTATGAGCATGTTTTATTTTTTTAATTTTTTTTTTGTGCTTCGTTGCTATCTCACAACTTCGTTGGAAGTTAAATAATAATAACTAGTTTTGTCTGGATTTACTCTTGAATATGTTTATGAATTATGACTAGTTTTATTGATTTTCATTGATCTTAAAATCAGTTTATTTTTGAGGTAAATATAAGACATTTAACCGAACGGATTCTTTTCAATTTTTCCTATATGCTTTTTCTAACATATTCTTATTTGATAATCTAATTGTTTAATTTTGAGCTAATTTTAATATGAAAAATTTAGAGAGAGAGAGAGAGAGAGAACAATGTATCCTTAAGCTTTAAGCTACCTTATGTCATTATCATTATCATTATCAACTAAACAATTGTCTCTAGCTGTTTGGTTGATTTTATCATTTTACAATTTTAAAACAATTAATTTGCAAGAACTTGATTTTGGAAAGTATGAGAGATAATTTGACTTGGGACCTGGAATCATTGCTGCAAGATACTTTTAAGCTCTTTATATATATAATAAATTCCTCGAATTACTTGTACTTGAATCAATTTCGATTAGGAAGTGGACAGGCAATCTAACTTCTATGAACAAGGAAAACACAAGTAGCTGGGGGGTATTTGATAAAGTTAAGTAAAATATATAATATAAATTTAATGTTTTTAAAAATATTTTAACTTAAAAATACTTCAATAAAAATGCAGATATTTAAATTTTTAATTTAAATAGTAAAATTTATTTAATTGATAAAAAAATTTTAATGTTAATTCATGATATATTATTATGTCTAATATTAATTGAAGAGAATCGATAATTAATTAAAAAAATTTAAAAACATTTTGATTGAAGAATTAATTAATTAAAAAGTAAAATAAATTTAATTTGACATAAATATTTAAAATAAATGTGTCAATATATATATATATATATATAATAATAATAATTAAAGTCATTTAGAATTGCACTATCATTTTATTTAATTATATATGTGTATGCACGCTTGTAATAACAAATATTTACTTATTATGAAAACGAATTTTGTTAATTTTTTATTTAATAATATTAATCACATCAAATTTTATCAATATAACATTTGAATAATGTTTTCATTTAAGTAAACACACTTGTTATCTGACTCTTTAATTGAGTATTAGAATTTATTATATAAGGACAAAATACTAAACATTGTTGCTGCAAAATTAATCTCATAGATAAGATTAAAAAAGCACTGCATCACTTGAGTATTTCTTCTTGGCGTCAATTGCACACCATCCAAGTGTTTGGAAAACATGATAATGTTATAGAGGAAGAACGTGTGCAGATTAAATAATGACCCGAAACATATGAACACTAATAATGATCAAGGTAGGACCATCTTTGCCTTTATTTCCACACACATATTTCACGGGACATTTTAATTTTCATAAGGATCAACGTTGGAAAAATTCTTTGGTTGCAAAAAAGCAAATAGAAAACAATTAAGAAGCCATTAATTACTGGGACTATGGTGGGAACCAATTCAATATGAAAACCCTAAATAAAGAGCAGGCAAAGTACGTAGAGGAATTCCTGAAACGTATGGTATATTTGAATAAAGATATACATGTGGAGGTCCTTATCGATAAAAGCTCATGGGACACTCTTCATATGTACCAAGCAAAATGAGGACTCGGCATGGATCTATATGCACCTTTTACAAAAGCATAAACTAAAACCATGTCAGATTGTCAAAGTTCTTACATCTGCGGACCATGCTTCATCTTCAATGCTTAATAGCTAATCCATTAGCTATAACTTTTACCATAAGTTCATTTTTGAGATTTATGAATGAGAAAAGATTTTTTTACACCGTGTAAGTGTAAAAACTCTTATATTTGATTTAAGTTTTTTATTTATCTTATATTTAACAGTTATTGAAATAATAAATTATAACTCGTTAAATATAAGTTAAATAAAAAACTCAAATTAAATGTAAGAGTTTTTAGATTGAATGTTAGATTTATTTTTGCATATATATATATATATATATATATATATATATAATTCAACTGCATAAAATGTGAAACTTAAATATTATCAATCCAAATGTCAATATGAAGATTTTAATAAAGTTTATTAATTTTAAAAGTATTTAAGCTTTTTTAAAGAAAAACAAAAATAAAAAATATTACAATCTCAAAAATAGAACCTCTCTTAATATTAGAACTAAACTTTAAATTTGTAAAACAATCTTTTAGCTTAACTAAAAAATTTATATATTTATTACTTGTATGTTTAATGGAGATTTATCAAACATTTTATATTTTAAATGATATTAACATATTTATAAAGAGGTAAAATAATTTATATCTTATAACATGTAATACAAACGATGTCCGATATTTAAGTTTGATATATGGCGTGAGCATATTTTTACTTTGTTTTTTCTTTATACCAGTTATTTGATAATACTTGCTTTAATTAACAGTGTTTTGAAGCGTCTAACTCTGCAATCTTGAATCAAAATCATGAAGTTTCTTCTTCCTTTAAATATACTCTAACCCCAAGATTGTCTTGCTTGGAAGCATTGTTAGCGAGTGCCTTTCCGGCTTAAAAAATTATCTCATTTGTCTCGTAACCCCTAACATGTATAGAGGAGAGACATTGCCTTTACACCATTTAAAAATATAATCAAATAAGAGTGACGAAATGGGGAAATTGAAATCAATTAAAGTGAAAGGGTATTTCCATTTAAATCAATTAAAATAAATGATATTAAATAAATGACTAAACAAGTACATTAGACATAAACATGAAGACAGAGTAGTAAATATTAAATAAATTAAAATTAACCTGCAGGTGCATGATGGCAATCTTTATTAGGTATTAGTCGCCTATTGATATTCAAAAACACGATCAAGAAAACGAAAGGTGGGGTAGTGTTTGTTATTCTTCAAGACCAGAAGATGTTTGAGGCATTACACATATATATGCTTTGTCATTGGTTTTTGTTGGAGAACAACTGTAAACTATGGAATTTTGGAAGCATTTCCTGCCTTTTCAAAAAGCACTTTTGCTTGCTTAGTATTATTTTACTTAACTAGATATCAAACCAATCACTGTATAAAAAATGCATAATTAATTAATTTACCGCTGCCAACGCTTAACCAAACGACACCGATCATATTATTTTTTCAAATAATTAACCCGGGCACATTAAAAAATAGGGGAAAAAGGCAAGACAAGTAAAAGGAAACAAAACAATATATAGAAAAAACCACACTGTTTTATGTCTTGAAAGAAAATAAGAAAACAAAATTACGTTTTTTTTATGATGCTACTATATCCTGACAATGATTTGTAAATTTTCAACACAGCAGAAGTCATGTATTAAAAGTCAATGGTAATTTCTGAAGTGATTTAAAAGCCCAGTAAGATACAAGTTTGCTAAAAGCGTTCTTAGTTTTTGATATATCCCAATCTTGTGATAATATTTTTTTTATAACAACCGATGAAACATGTTAGAAAATAACGTTTTAAATGAATAAAATTAAGAATAAATTTCTCAACTTTTGTCAAAGAAAAATTGATTATGAAAAGGAAAAGAAAACTGTGAAATTGATTGAATGTACATGTTTGATCAACAGAGGATGGAAGAAAACAAAACAATAATGAAGCATTGCGCACTTACACACAAAATTTTGTCATTATTAGGAAGAAGACTAATCCCTTGGAGTTTGAAAATCTCGTAATTTATGATTGGTCGCTGTTTAACCCAAAAAATTAGTTGTTGACTAACCTAGAACGATTTTTGTCAAAAACGTGGAGATATCAATTCCTTGTTTCACCAACTTCACGAGACAGTTTAGTATTCAAGCGCCACTCTCCATTCATCACCATATAGTAATTACCTTACTCTCTCCATAATCACTCTAATTAATTAATTTGACGAAGCAGAAAAAGAGGAGTTATCTTTATAGTATAATAAACCGCCATTTTAAACAATAATCAAAATAAAAAAGGCCCTTCTTTAACGTGGCAATCTTTTAATCAAAATCAATTCTTGGCACTTGCTTGTTGGCTAAACTCTCTTTGAATCAAAGTTTTCATTCTCTCATGGTTTGTGTCCAATGTCACTGTCACCCTCACAATTTGCTCTTTTCTTTCTGTGTCTCTCATCTCAACCAGCTAGTTGGTTATTCTTTCCCTGGTAGTTGCAAAATCTTGGATTTAAACTCTTCTTTCACTTTGTTTTATCTTTCACTTCTTTGCTGCAAAACATGCCAAGCCCAACACACAATGCAGATTTTTAGAATCTTTTTAAACTTTGTTGTATCTTATATTCTTTCATAGTATAAATCCATCCTACCTAGTCTGGGGTATCCTGTTTTCCATTCTTGGAAAGTGCACTTTGAATTTTGTTAGTTTCATTGCAGTGAAGTGAGTGGTTGACCAGGAACGAGCACATGTATAGAAAATTCTGGGAAAAGATGAAGCTTTTTACTTCATTGTTGTTTCTCAGTTTAATTTTCACGCTCTCTCTTGTGGCTTCTGACACTGTGCCCTTAAACGAAGGTTTGTGTTCTGTTCGACTGTTCACTTTCTGTTTCAGATCTCAAATATTCACTTTTGTTATACTCTGTTTGCCTGCTGCTAAAATCTTGATAATTTTGTGTTTTTACCTTCTCTTTAATCTTCTTTTAGTTCCAAGTTTTGATAATTGAATTTCTTGTAAGGTAATGTCTCAAGTGTCATTAAGTAAGTAGCAAAGATTGGCAGTTCTATTTCCTGTGTGAAATTGCGAGTTTCGAGATTGTTGTATGATTGGCCTTGATTTTCATGGACATGGTCTCTTTTTTACTTGGCTACTAAAATTTACGATGGGGTTCATAGAAATGAAGATTTTGCATTCTCTCTTTTTTCTTGATAGTTATGGCGCTTATGAACTTCAAAGAAGCTATCTATGAAGACCCATATCAAGTTTTATTCAATTGGGATACGGTGGAAGCAGATCCTTGTAACTGGTTTGGAGTTTCATGCACTATGGCTCGAGATCATGTCATCAAGCTGTAAGATACCAATGGTCTTCTGTAGATGGTGCTTTATTTTTATTTGTTTTCCATTTTTCGTTTTTTGTTGGTGGAGAATACTGTTGCTATTTCACATGGATGAAGACACGAATTTCTAAGCTAGCACATTCCTAATACTACAGCTTGGGATTCTTCTTTGCAGAAACATATCAGGATCATCATTAAAGGGGTTTCTTGCACCAGAGTTGGGGCAAATCACATCCTTGCAAGAACTGTATGTTCATTCTTTCTCCTAGCCTTGCTTCATTCTGAATAGTAAAAACCTTGGTTCAATGATTGTAATTACCATGTGTCTTGGTTCTGGAATATCTTGGTTGAAGCTAATTTTTAGTTCTTATGTTTGTAGAATTTTGCATGGCAACAGTCTCATTGGGACAATACCTAAAGAGTTGGGGGTGTTGAAATTTCTCATGGTATTGGATTTGGGAATGAATCAGTTATCGGGACCAATTCCTCCAGAAATTGGAAATCTAACCCAAGTTGTGAACATGTAAAAGAATTTCAGTATGCTTTTCGTGAATACGGAAAATTATTGACTCATACTTATTCAAATTTGTTTGCATTCTTGTAGAAATTTACAGTCCAACAGGTTGAGTGGTAGGCTACCTCAGGAGCTTGGAAACTTGAGAAACCTTCAAGAACTTCGGCTGGATAGGAATAGGCTTCAAGGACCTGTTCCTGCTGGTGGTAGTTCGAATTTTGCTTCAGATATGCGTGGGATGTGAGTGTAAATTTTATGATTGAATTATTATAGTTTGATTCAGGGATTCGTTGTTCTTATTCATGTAGCTCTTCCTAATCTGATTGATAAAACTCTTCTTTTTCTGAGTACGCCTATAGACTGTTGTCCTCTTTTTCATATATGTTGTTCATAGCCATGGTCAGACGAGCAAGTATTTGGGCTTGGTTTTGGTCTTGTATACAATTGATTGGATGCAAATTACTGTTTCCTTCTAATGTTCACTGTGTTAGTTACATGTTTCATTATTCATGGCTAACACAAATGAGAAATTTTGTTCTTTTTTTTTTTTTTTTTTTGTATAAGACCATACTTTAGATAAATTCGACCATTATCTCTGAAATTTACTGTGAAGGAGATATTTTGAATGTTTGCAAATGGAATTGGTTAAGTTATTATTTGCAAATTGCAATGACTAATGTCAAGTTTTCAACATGTTCAGGAGTCATTCAATATGCAAAAGTATTTCATTAGGGAGACTAAAATGACCTTTGGGTTATTATGAATCAGCTTTAAACTGTAGAGGCTAAACTAAAAACTTCAAGTCAAAATCAACATGAAGAAAATGTCAATCTGTCTAATAATTTTTTTTTAACTTCTTCAGGTATGCATCACAGCAGAATGTAACGGGCTTCTGTCGTGCGCCTCAGTTAAAAGTAGCAGACTTCTCGTATAATTTTTTAGTTGGTAGAATACCCAAATGCTTGGAGTATCTTCCAAGGTACTTTCTGATGCCTGGTCATTTTGGCATTCCTACTCTTCCACCATATTTAGTAAACATATACTACTATGTCAAGTAGGTTAAGCTTTCAAGGGAACTGCCTCCAGAACAAGGATTTAAAGCAGCGGCCTTCTATACAATGTGGTATGTATGATATGACCATTTTAGCATTCAAAATTGAAGGCATGAATTATATGCTTGTTCATAGACATCTCACAAAATTTGAATCATACAGAAGAGATGAAATAAGCTGAGTCTTAACGTAATTCTGAAATGGCTTTCACTGGTATTCACTTTGTATTCCTTTTTTGAAAACCCAACCTGTTGTTGAGAATGAATCTATGTGATATTTACAAATCTATTAAGAATTTGTCAATTCCCATGTACACTGGATAACATTCCTTACCTTAATTTGGTTCTTCCCAGTTTTGTATCTAATACTGAACTATTATTTCATAGCGGGTGCTTCACCTGCCAAGAGCCAGCCTGTGGTGAACAGAAACCGCCAACCTACTGACTACGCAACCAAGCATCGAGCATCAAAACCTGTTTGGCTTTTGGCTCTAGAAATAGTAACTGGAACTATGGTGGGCTCTCTCTTTCTGGTTGCTGTTCTTGCTACTTTTCAAAGATGTAACAAAAAATCATCTATCATTATTCCTTGGAAAAAATCTTCAAGCCAGAAAGATCATACGGCCGTATATATAGGTAAATAGGTTCAGTTTCTTCCTTTTTCCTGTACTTTTTCTTTATATCTAGTAGTTCTAGAGCTGTTTTCAACCTAATTGGCATTATTAATGTGCAGACCCCGAGATGTTGAAGGATGTGAGAAGGTATAGCAGACAAGATCTTGAAGTGGCCTGTGAAGACTTCAGCAACATAATTGGGTCCTCACCAGATAGTGTGGTCTACAAGGGAACCATGAAAGGTGGGCCTGAGATTGCTGTAATTTCTCTCTGCATCAAGGAGGAGCATTGGACAGGATATCTTGAGCTCTATTTTCAGAGAGAGGTAAATGGAGATATTCCAATGCCTACAGCATGCTAGAATTTGCACAAATAGTTGTCCAAATCTTTTATTATTTTTTTATTTAACCTATCAATGCCATTCAGGTGGCAGACTTGGCAAGGTTAAATCATGAGAATATAGGAAAATTACTGGGCTATTGTAGAGAGGACACTCCATTTACAAGGATGTTGGTTTTTGATTATGCTTCAAATGGGACACTTTATGAACACTTACATTGTTGTAAGTCTAGTTTCTTAGCTCATTCATATGTATGTTTTAAGCGTTTCAGTTCCTTCAACATGAAATTATGACTGCAGATGAAGAAGGATGCCAATTCTCTTGGACACGGCGAATGAAGATTGCCATAGGCATTGCACGCGGACTCAAGTACTTGCACACAGAAACTCAGCCTCCATTTACTATCTCAGAGCTCAATTCTAGTGCTGTATACCTTACAGAAGAATTTTCCCCTAAGGTGCGCACACTAGCTAGTTCAAATCTTCAAACTTGGCAATTAAAATTGTGCTCAGCATCTTATCGCACTCAAGAATGATCAGAAATAGAGTAACTTGATCCTATGTTTACATGCTGTCTGTTCTGTTAGAGACCGAAAAGCTTGCTTAAGATTCTCATTGTCATTAACCCCAATTGCAGTTGGTTGATTTTGAAAGTTGGAAGACAATTCTCGAAAGATCAGAAAAGAATTCTGGTTCTATTGGCAGCCAAGGTGCTGTTTGTGTTCTTCCAAACTCGCTTGAAGCGCGCCATCTTGATACCAAAGGAAACATATATGCTTTTGGGGTACTTCTGCTAGAGATAATCAGTGGTAGACCTCCATACTGTAAGGACAAAGGGTACTTGGTGGACTGGGTAAGAACCTTACTGAAATTGGGTGATTAAAAATTCAGTTTTACAGCTTCAGCAACCCTGAAAGATTGTATTTTTATACTAAGCCGTATTTGTCAAACATGTATAGGCCAAGGACTATCTTGAAATGCCAGATGTAATGTCACATTTGGTGGATCCTGAACTGAAACATTTTAGAAATGATGACCTCAAAGTGATATGCGAGGTAATAACTCTTTGTATCAACCCTGATGTCACTGCGGGTCCATCCATGCAAGAATTATGTAGCATGCTTGAGAGCAGAATTGACACATCAGTAAGCGTGGAGCTTAAGTCATCATCTTTGGCTTGGGCTGAACTTGCACTTTTATCATAATATAGTCAAAACTCAAAGTTAACAGATCTACACTAAAGCAGAGAGATATACACCAGTAATACTTTTCTGACTACTTTCTTTATTTCTTTTTCTTTTACTTTTCAATTTTATTTCCATTGTAAATGATTGCTCAAAATGGGTACGTGTTAGGCCTAAGCACGACAAAGTCTCGTTGTATAGCACTAGCGGACTAGCAGAAGTCCAGAAATTGTTAAATAGAAGAAAATTGTATTGGACCATTGTTTCCTTTTTCTTTTTATGTATTATACCGAGCATTGTGTTATACTGTTATTCGTCATGGACCCCTTACCCACATCTTCCCTCTTCCGAGATCGGGATATTGAGGGGCTTAATGATTTTTTTAATAATTATTTACCAAAATAAAATTAAAAACAAAGGTAAATTTTTGTCACGTTAGACTCTGTTTCGTATTTAAGGGAGACAAAATTATTTTTTTTATTTTTAATCTATCTATTTCGTCTAAAATAGGGATAAAATCAATCAGAATGTTACACGTGTTTCGTATACAATAGAGATAAAAAGATAAAATACAAATTTGAATTTAAAAATACAGAGACACACTTAGACCAATCAAGGAAGGAAAAAGAAGGGAGAAAAAAATAAATAAAGTGTGTTAGTGAAAAGAGAAAAATAAATAAATGAATTGTGCTGTGTGAATGATGTAGAGTTACGAAAAAATATTAAATGAGATTAGTTGTGGAGAAAGAGAAAAATAAATGAATCATGTTAGTGGGAAGAGAGAGAAAAATAAGTGATGGATCGTGCTGTGTGAATGTTGCAGAGTTACGAGAAAATATTAAATGAGATTGGTTGTGGAGAAAGAGAAAAATAAATGAACCGTGTTAGTAGGAAAAGAGAAAAAAATAAGTGATTTTTCTCTCCCTTCTCTTCCTTCCATGATTATTCCAAATGTCGTGTTAGTGGGAAGAGAGAGAAAAATAAGTGATGAATCGTGCTGTGTGAATGTTGCAGAGTTACGAGAAAATATTAAATGAGATTGGCTATGGAGAAAGAGAAAAATAAATGAATCGTGTTAGTAGGAAAAGAGAAAAAAATAAGTGATTTTTCTCTCCCTTCTCTTTCTTCCATGATTATTCCAAATGTCGTGTTAGTGGGAAGAGAGAAAAAAATAAGTGATAAATCGTGCTGTGTGAATGTTGCAGAGTTACAAGAAAATATTAAATGAGATTGGCTGTGGAGAAAGAGACAAATAAATGAACCGTGTTAGTAGAAAAAGAGAAAAAAAAAATAAGTGATTTTTCTCTCCCTTCTCTTCCTTCCATGATTATTCTAAATGTGTCTGCAGAGCTGTATTTTTAAATTTAAATTTATATTTTTCTTTTCGTTTCTATTGTATATGAAATACGTGACACGTGTAACATTTTGATTAATTTCGTCCTTATTTAGATGAAATAGATAGATTAAAAATAAAAAAATAATTTCGTCTCCCTTAAATATAAAACACAGTCTGACGTGACAAAAATTTGCCTCAGAGAAAGAATATGTTTGTTTTTAATTTTATTTTGGTAAATAATTATTAAAAAAACATTAAAAAAATCATTAAGCCGATATTGAGGAGACATATACAGGAGCCATGTCTATTGAGAATAGTTCTCATTTTAAAAACGAAAGAGCTATAAACTTGGATCATATATATATATGATTAATATTAAAATATAATTACTAGTAATATAATTACGTAAAAAAGTCATGTGCATAAGTATTTATCTTTTAATCTAAGCATTTGCATTTTCAGTTATGGAAATCTCAATCTGTATATTATTTTTTGTCAAGCTTGTTACCTAATTAACTTGGAAATGGTATGGTCACTGTCGACTGTTTTACCTATTAACTTCCACCATCCAAGGCCACAGGCGCCTTTAGTTATTTCTCTTTTCCGTGTTTGGATTTGGACGAAAAGAAAGTAACGTGTACCAGTAGTCATAACAAGGGCATGCCATTGATACCCACTCACATATTTCCAATGGTTTCATTAAAGTAAATAAAGACCCTTTCTATTTGTTGTGGATAATATAAATAATGTACCATGTCTATGATCTACTTCAAAGAAGAGAAGTAAAAGACACAAGTATAGAATAAATGCTTTTACATAAAATCCTTTTCCAAGTAAAAAAGAAAAAAAGCCAAGTCGTTAAACGATTGGCAAATTGGTAGAGCAGCAACCTATAATAGATGCTACTTAATCTTGAACCAGCCACATACATGACTCTTGAAGCTAACCAAGATTAACTGAAAACTGAACAATATGACTGACTTTAAGGAAGAATGATGTGTTATAATAATACAAACCATTCTGGATTAGTTGTCGTCGAATCCAGGCTAAAATAAGCAATAACAAAATGGTCCCCAATGTTGTCAAACAGTTAGGAAGGATATTAATATATAACTGTGAAGGAGGGTTCAGATAGCAAAACGAGAGACTTAGATGGCTCGAGCTTTCACAATGTCCAAGCTCATCTCACTTGGATCAGTTGCTTGCAGTTCGACTTGAATGCCATCGAGCTCCCTCTTGAATCTATCCTTGGAACTAGCATACACCATCTTCATCCTCACCTTTGATGTGTCTGGTGACCTACACCCGGTATATATATCTCATTAACACATAATATATTCAATTTGTCTAGTTAATGTTAAGAATGCAAGAGTTTTGCAATAATAAATAGAATAGAAAAGTAATTTTGGTTTGTATTGAAGCCAAATATATTAATTAGCCGAGTGCAATGTGGACTAGTACCATGCAATGAAGAAGATCTTGCTTTTCTGGCAATTCTCATCAGTTGTGAAATCAAAATCAAAGACAGCATAACGACACTCATTAGCTGGCAAACTGGCCTGGAAATCGTCATAGCTTTCCGATGCCCCCCCTAATTTGTCGACCACAACTTGTTGCTGCTCAATTCTGAATGTAATGAATCGATAGCTCCTCTTTGCTTTAAGTTCCTGGAACTTCAGTTTACAGTCATCGTGCACAGCCATTCCGGACGCTGCATTTGCCTGTCGCATGATTTTTTCTCATCAAATAATTTCACCATTTGTTGAGTTTCATTTTCCCATTATCATTCAGGATTGTTATTCATTCTTCGTCACAGGTCACAATATACGTACAAAGTAAGTTGGTACCATCTTTTGGCAATCACTAATTTGTCGTAAGGGCATGCATACATGCACGCAATGAAATGACTCTTCATTTTTCTAGACATAATTGATCGTATCAACTCCTACTTTGATATATTTTTTCAGTTTAATTAATGTCTCACAAGCGATCAAGTTTCATCTTCATACGTCAAAAACCATCTTAATTATATGAAATGAGAAATATTCAACACTTATATACAAAGAAAACATATAAATATAATGCTGATAACATCGACATTGAAGGGTAGATCGTAAGAACAGAATTCTTGTCGTCAGAATAATTTATATATGCAGCAAAACTACTATATAACTAACTAATAGCTTCTGATGCCATGCAAAAAAGAAGAACCTGAGCGAACCAATTACCATTGTGCCAGCAATGAGGAAGAAGCGCCCTTTGAAATGTGTATGAAAAGAAAGGGATGGAAGCAATAGAGAATGGAAAATGGGAGCAATAGACTCAGTGAAAAAAAATATGGAGAGAAATAACAAATAAAGATCCTTGATTTTTGGAGCCACGAGAGGTGGAACTTTGAGAAGACTAAGATAGCGGATAGAGAATAGAAACTGGGTGAGAAATTTATGGGTGGGTCTGTTGCAATCTATTTTGCTTCCTTGCCAGTGTCCACAAGTCTATATTATGCTTCAACAGACATGTTCCAAATTTGGAGAAGCCTTAATTAGAGAAATCATGTTACGTGCCTAATTTCCAAACCAGCAATAATTACTTAATTAGCCTATTTTATTTGGTGATATATATGTGTGTGTATATATATATATATATATATATATATATATATATATATATATACATGTACATTCTTCGTTTTAGATAATAAAGTCTAATTGCCAATCCTTTAAGGAAATCAGTTGTTTTTAATAATATTCAAGCTGTTGACTTTTTTCTTTTTTTTCCATTCACTATCAATTGAAAGTTTTTACTTTTTAATTTTGGTACTTTTTTTTATTTTTGGCCGTGGAATTGGGCTCCAAAGATTTGGACCGAAGAATTTGAATAGAACTGTGGGCCATTGCCAACTGGACGCATTGATATTGTTATAGCCTACCAATGAATGGGCTTTCTTTAGGGTCGAAGTCAACTTTGGTTGGCCGGCCTGTAAACGCAATCCATGACGTCTTTGATGGCCCAATATAAGGAATACTGTCAAATAAAATATATATAATGAATGAGATAAAGTCAAATGGAGATAATGATTTCAATTATGATAATTTGGTAGTACTTCCGTAAACAATGTAAGATCTATACACTTTCTAACCACTATCAATCGTCTTATTTTAATTAATATAGAGTAGTTATTTACAGGGAAACTCTGACTTTGGGATTAAACTATGGTAGTATGACCGATCCTATGCGTCCTTTTTGAGTATAGTATGAATAATATTTAAAGGAGAAAAGTAAGAAAAACTCGGTTTCCACAACATTCGAAGACATCTTGAAACATACTCGACCACGCAATTCAGTTCGAGGTTCGCTAACTCACGTATGTGTTAAGAATTTACGCGCTTAAGGAGAAAGCCGAAAGGTTCTTTTTCTGGATCCAAAGAGAACAAGAGAACCTTAAGATTCTGTATTTGATGGGCTCTTAGCCCTAATTTGAGGCCTACCTCAGACCCAAGATTGCGTTAAGCCCAAGGAAGCGATGGGCCCACCGACATGATCCTAAAGTCAAAAGAGAGAGAATAAAAAAATTGCTTTTGACTGTCTGAGAATTTAATTTAAAAGCGCAACGCTCGCTTGCTGCAAACACAAATTGTATGCGTGTTGGTGGCAAAAAGCAATGGCGAAGTTGTTAGCGTTAACTTGCTTCCGAAACGAGGGATGGGGCAACCTCTCTCCGCGACCTCACTACCCTTCCATGCCCAAATATCCCAAGGGTGTGGGTCTCACTTCCGCCACCCTCCACCACCCTTCCGAGGCCAGGGCCCTTTTCTCCGTCGTCGGAATGACCTGCTCCGCCTGCGCCGGTTCCGTCGAAAAGACCATCAAACGCCTTCCCGGAATTCGCGAAGCCATCGTCGATGTCCTCAACAACCGTGCCCACGTCATCTTTTACCCCTCCTTTGTTAACGAGGAGACCATTCGCGAGGCTATTGAGGATGCTGGTTTTGAAGCGGCGTTGCTAACGGACGCTACCAATAACAAATCCATTCAAGTGTGCCGCCTGCAGATTAAAGGAATGACTTGCACCTCCTGTTCCTCCACCATCGAATCCGCTCTTCAGGCCCTTCAAGGCGTCCTCAAGGCACAGGTGGCCCTCGCCACCGAAGAGGCCCAAGTCCACTACAACCCCAACGTCATTAGCTACAACCAAATTCTAGAAGCCGTAGAAGATTCTGGATTCGAAGCCGCGCTCATCACTTCAAGCGAGGAGTTGAGCAAGATAGACCTCCACGTGGAAGCAGCTGAACTATCCGATGATTCCACCAAACTCATCGAAGCTTCTCTTCGGGCACTCCCCGGAGTCCTTGGCGTGGACATAACCACCGAACTGAACAAAATAACGCTTTCTTACAAACCCGACGTGACAGGACCCAGGAAATTCATTCGCGTGATTGAGGAAACAGGGTGTGGGAATTTCAAGGCTAAAATATTCCCTCAAGAAGCAGGACCAAGAGATTCTCACAGACGCGACGAAATTAAGCAGTATCATAGATCGTTCTTGTGGAGCTTGGTGTTCACGGTGCCCGTGTTTCTAACCTCCATGGTTCTTATGTACGTCCCTGGAATCAAGCAATTACTGGATGCAAAACTTGTTAACATGGTAACCGTTGGGGAGGTTGCGAGATGGGTGCTAACCACTCCGGTTCAGTTCGTTTTAGGTTGGAGATTTTACTACGGTTCTTACAAATCGTTGCGCCGAGGCTCTGCTAACATGGATGTTTTGGTCGCCTTGGGAACAAACGCGGCGTATTTTTATTCGGTGTACTCTGTTCTGAGAGCTGCTACATCTCGTGATTTCGAGGGCAATGATTTCTTTGAGACGAGTGCGATGCTTATTTCCTTCATTCTGCTTGGAAAGTATCTTGAAATTTTGGCGAAGGGGAAGACGTCGAATGCAATTGCGAAGCTCATGAACTTGACCCCTGACACGGCTATATTGTTGAGTTTGGACGGTGAAGGGAATGTGGTGGGTGAGGAAGAGATTGATAGCAGGTTGGTTCAGAAAAATGATGTGATAAAGGTTATTCCCGGGGCCAAGGTGGCTTCCGATGGGTTTGTTTTGTGGGGGCAGAGTCATGTGAATGAGAGCATGATAACAGGGGAGGCACGTCCTGTGGCCAAGAGGAAAGGTGACTCTGTTATTGGTGGAACTGTGAATGAGAATGGAGTGTTGCACGTTAAGGCAACGCGCGTGGGCTCAGAGAGTGCTCTTTCCCAGATTGTTCGGCTTGTTGAGTCGGCTCAGATGGCCAAAGCTCCTGTGCAGAAGTTTGCAGATCGCATTTCCAAATACTTTGTCCCTCTGGTAGATAATTATGACCCGTTTCTTGTTTTTGTTCTTTCTTGTGGAGGATTTTTTTTAAAGGGTGTCTCTTTGCATTGCAGGTGATCTTGATCTCGTTGATGACTTGGCTTGCTTGGTTTTTAGCTGGAAGATTTCATGCTTACCCCAAGTCTTGGATACCATCTTCAATGGACAGCTTTGAGCTTGCTTTGCAATTTGGAATATCTGTTATGGTCATAGCCTGCCCTTGTGCTTTGGGTTTAGCTACGCCCACCGCCGTTATGGTTGGCACTGGTGTAGGTGCGTCTCAGGGTGTACTCATCAAAGGAGGGCAAGCATTAGAGAGTGCGCATAAGGTCAGCATTTCACATTATATATTATATTATATTAGATTAGCCGCTTCAATTTTGGATTTCCCTTGACAATGTTGTCAGGCTTAAAAATTGAACAGATATTTTTTAGTATTCTACTAGTACAATTATTACCAAGTGGTGTTTTGGAGCCATTTCTGCTGATTAATCCAACACCAAATGTGTTTTAGGAAATCAGTACTATTAATGTTTATATCCTTGATTCTTAATATAGAGTACTATTGTTTTTCAATGTTATGCTAGGTGAAGGGAAGTACTTTCTGGGATATCAGTATCAATCTGATTTTTCTTGTACTTCTTTCCTGTCTCTCACAACATTGTTGGAAGTTAAAATGGAGAAACTGGTCCAGGGTTGTATGTTGAGTATATCAGAATTATCTGTTAAAATTTTCATGGTTTTCTCTTGTAGGTGAACTGCATTGTTTTTGACAAGACGGGTACTCTCACTGTTGGAAAACCTGTAATAGTGAATACAAAACTATTGACAAAAATGGTTCTTCGAGAATTCTACGAACTTGTGGCTGCAGCTGAGGTAGGCATCTTCCTTATCTCCTTCTCAAAGGCTTAGTCTCCCTTGTTATTAGTTGTAGAAAACAGGACTTTTGTCAGATAACTTTTTCTTTTAATAGTTTTGACTCCAATTTTATTTGTTAACTGCACAAGTGCTTTTATGATTCACTGATTATAAGTGCATATATCATAAACAATTGCCATTAATATTACTTGCCTATCTCAGGTCAATAGTGAGCATCCACTTGCCAAGGCCATTGTTGAGTATGCCAAAAAATTTAAAGATGAAGAGAGCCCTTCTTGGCCAGAAGCAAGAGATTTTGTTTCCATTACAGGACATGGAGTAAAGGCCAATGTTCACAACAAGGAAATCATTGTGGGTAATAAGAGCCTGTTGGCTGACCATAATATCGCAATCCCTGTTGTTGCTGAAGATATACTCGCTGAAGCCGAAAAGATGGCTCAAACAGGAATTTTAGTATCTATAAATGGGGAAGTAGCTGGGGTTGTAGCAGTATCTGATCCATTGAAACCGGGTGCTCAAGAAGTCATTTCCATTCTCAAATCTATGAAAATTAGGAGCATGATGGTAACAGGGGACAACTGGGGAACTGCTAGTTCTATCGCGAGGGAAGTTGGAATTGAAAGTGTTATTGCTGAGGCCAAACCGGAACAGAAAGCAGAGAAAGTTAAAGACTTGCAGGTATAAATGAATAATGATAAAAAATTTTCAACTTAATTTTAAGAAGTTCGTTAGTTATTCATTCATGAGATGACACTGACCCAGACGACAGCTTTGAGGCCTTGAAATTGAAAGAATACACTGCTTTTCTGTTTTATTTTTTTCAAGCACAACTTTCTCTTTGAAGAAACGTAACTAAGAAATCCTTGTATCTCTTCTGTCTTTCAGCCATTGCTTTCTCAAACTCCTTGGTTCTGGAGTCTCACTTTTAGAGCAGCTATACGCTACTTTCACATGAATATACTATCGTTTGTAACATATTGAGTGATTTTTTCTCTTTCAGGCTTCTGGGTACACTGTGGCTATGGTGGGGGATGGTATCAATGATTCACCTGCACTTGTGGCAGCCGATGTGGGAATGGCAATAGGTGCTGGTACAGACATTGCTATTGAGGCTGCTGATATTGTCCTCATGAAGAGCAACTTGGAGGATGTCATAACAGCCATTGACCTTTCTAGAAAAACATTTTCCCGTATTCGTCTAAATTACTTTTGGGCTTTGGTTTATAACCTTCTTGGCATCCCAATCGCTGCAGGAGCTCTCTTCCCTTCTACAGGGTTCCGTTTACCACCTTGGATTGCTGGTGCTGCTATGGCTGCCTCCTCTGTCAGCGTTGTTTGTTGCTCTCTGCTGTTGAAATATTATAGGAGACCCAGGAAGCTGGACAACCTTGAGATACGAGCCATAAGGATCGAATCTTCCGTTGATCATATCATGCATGACAATTGAGGGTTTTGATTTAGCTAATTTTCCTTGTATATAACGTTAAGTGTCGTGATTTTAGTTTAGGTTTACAAAAATGAAAAGGATTCTTTTCTTTCCATGAAAAGCTCTCGAGAGTCTTATGAACAGCTTTAGAAGATTTTTTTTTGACAACTTATAAACAGCTTTAAATGCATGTATATAAAAAATTAAAAATTAAAATAATTATAAGGAGTTATGTATGATGTCAATTTTTAGTTTAACATGTCAATAAGGTGTTTTGATTTTATGCAAAAACCCTACAAAATCAGCTACCTGATGATAATGAGGATGGACGTTGGGTGTTCAAATTCAAAAGCTTTTTTGGGTGTAGAAGAAGCGGCACCGAAGAACTGGGAAGACGATTCATCTTGCCCTCTTCAAACTTTTTACTAGTTCTAAAATTTGCAAATTAGTTGGAATTAAGTTATTCCCTAAATAAACGTGTGCATGTAGTCTAATATGTGTGAAAATTGGCGAACCTAAATTGAGGTCCATGGAAGTATGGAAAGGAATGTTAATTACATATCTTTAATATATTTTTATTACACTTTTATTTTGGATATTAAATAAATTAAAGCTATTTTGATTTCATTCTATTTAGTGAGCCCCACATGATAATAATCTCTTTAAGATTTCGGATCAAGATATGTTGACATGTCCATGGGAGTATTTCTAATTTAGTCCATTAGAAATTTTGGAAATTTTGAATTAAATTACCCAGTTTGATAAAAAAAGATTTTGATAAATTGGAATTATGAAAATTAATAAATATGTGAGTCCATAGAAGGTAATGGAATCATGAGCTTGGTTATGAGATTCGGGATATCTTGAATTAAAATTGGGGTGTTTGAATGTTATATATCTTAAAATATGTGTACACAAGGGATCCGATCTCTCTTTCCGTTCTGGCAAGAATTGGAGAGTGCAGTTCGATTTTTGCTTAAGTCGAATGTTAATTTGCGTAAGCAAATCCCCTATATTTGCACAATAAAGCTTACAAAGATGTTATTTCACTACACTCAATTATTTTGCTGTGTCCTGAAAACAAGAAAAAATGAGGAGGGTTTGGAGGTGTGTTCCCCCATATTGTAGATATTCCTCCAACATTTATTTGGTGGACCTTGCGAACAAGAGATGAAAATGAACATCCCAATTTGCAAAAAAGCTTTTAACCAAGATCTATTTCTCGTCCTCACCCATTTTGCTCCATATATGTTGGGTCTCCTCTTCTTTGAGGCCCTTGTACTCCCACAACTCATCCAATAGAAGTTTTCTGCTCTTCTTCATGGCCTCCTTCCCTTGCCCCAAGTGTATATTGACTTTTACAGCCTTTGTGGCACTGGCAAACTCTAGTGTGAGTGATGAGTCATTGATGTTGTCGTCGCTGGTGCATGAAATTTGGGTCTTAATTTTGTGGGTGAAGAGAGTTATCTACAAATTAGAGAAGAAAGGAGTAACCACTTGAAATCTAGAGAGCCATTTGTGTAGATTGAATTAGATTAAGAAATTATTTTTTGGAGAGATGGAATAAGAGGTTTCCAACTCTTCAAGACAAGCTTACAAGAAAAGAATGAGGAATACTTCTCATTCTTCGTGTTTTTTATAATATTTTTGCTTAAACAAATATCTACTTGTTAAGTAAAAATATCGCGTAAGTGATGAAACTAAAGATTTCACTTGAGCAAGCAAAAATGGAGCCCTATGGGAGGGAATTCAGATTGTACATAAGCTAATATCACGTGCATGGCAGTACAAACCAAAAAAATTGTTGTATAATTATTTCTTTTCGGCTTTAACCCTTTTTTACCCCAAAAAAACTAACAAATTGGTTAAAAATTTGGTTGATTAAATTTTTTTTTTATTAAAAAATCTAATGACTGAAATAGGTGAAAAATTAGTCATAGTAATCTAAAATTGATTAAAATAGGTAGAATGGGTTTTTACATATTCTTTTAACCTAAAGCCTTCGTGTCGACTTTTATTATTCTACCTGTTATTTAATTTTAATCTTATAAAGTATATAATACAATTTTTTTGTTAACATTTTTTTTAAGAACTAGGTATTAACTCTTATTGAAATGGCGGTGACAAAAAAAAATTCCTCTGAAAACCACTCTTATTTTAAATTAAATGCGTAGTTTTGAATTGTCAAATGTAGGCTGGCGTGTTAATGCATCAAACATCGAACGTTTATGTGCAACTATTGACAACTTTCAAATTCTAATAAAATATTTACATATAGTTTATTCTAAACTTAAAAACTCATGATACTTTTCTTAATGATATTAAGGCAATTATTAATCATAGTTAAGGTCATAATTTTTATGATTAGATAAAATTTAAGCCAGACTCGTTAAATGATATACGTTATACTGAAATTCAGTTCTTATATATTTATGTTACCCAAATTTTATCTAATAATAAAGCATACATTTTAAAATATATCAATAATATTTTTCCCCGTAATAAGTCATAAGGTGGATATGGTAAAATAAGCAAAGGCAATATATCACTCTTCACCAAATCATGGCTCGATGGTATTAGACTAAGGAATCAATATTTTTTTTTTCCTCCGACAAGAATCAAAGAAGCTAAGAACCAAAGTAATATATACTTCAATAGTTCTATTCTATTCTTCTAAATATGATGGGAATAAATACTCAAAGAGAAGTAGATGTTTGTTTTTCTAAATAATGTTGTTGAGTGACAAGCAAATGCCATTCAAAATAGCGATGGAAGTAAAGATATATATGGAAGAGGAAATAACAGAAAAAAAAAAATTGGAAATGTCCCACTCGGTAACGTCAGTATATTTATATAGCTTTCTTCAAATGAAAATGAAAATTGAAATTGTATTATTTTTAGAGTATTGATTAAGAAAATGAAAATATTTAGTCAAAAATTTTAACAAAAAATTTGTATTATACCTTGGTTACTATTAATCCAGTCTCACTGGTTATCCTTATTCATTATACCTTGTTTATGTCCAAAAATCTTCATATAACATGATAGAGCTAATTGTGATTTTGATTTATGAATCTTAAACATTGCTTAGTTGAGTGATGAAGTTATATTTAAAAAAAGAAAAAATATTGTACTAAGATTTAATAAAATTATAAAAAAATGTTGTATCCATCTTAAGTTGTATTACAATAACTTATTATAAAAACAACTTATGATATTATAATTGGCATAATTCTAGTACCAATTCAGCTCCGGGGAATCAAGTATTATAATAAGTTGTATACTGAACATTCCAGTTGGATAACTAGTCTGAATTTCAAACTCTATTAAATATTATTGGCAGTTTATCCCAAAATTAAATAGTCTTAGTCTTCTAATAATGCTAATATCATTGTTAATTGTCGATAGTAATAGGTAACTCAAGATACATCATAAATTAAGCGAAGTCAATCTATGTGTCATCATCAAATATTTCAACTTGTTACTTGTTGACCATGATAGTATGGTACTAACGAGCCAAATCCTTTTAATTTTTTTTACTAATGGAAGCAACCAAAAGAAATCGTGAACCCAAAGTAATATATATTTCTATTCTATTCCATATACAATTGGAATAAGTACTCAAAGAGAAGCTGCCAAATTTCAACGACACGTACGTGGAAGTTTGTTTTTTTTTTAAAAGTTGAGCAGTGACAAGCAAATGTCACCCAATTATTTTATGGAAGTGGAGATATACAGGATAGGGAATAAAAGTAAAGGAAAGAAAAGAAAATGAAAATAACAATTGGATAGAAGGATTTTCCTCTGGTTGGATATACAAAGAGAAAGAATTATATATTTTTCATATAATAAAATGCTATTTACACAAATTGCATGCAAGTACATTATTTAAATTATATAAAACTATATTTCATAATTATTTTTATTTTTAATAAAATTAAATATGAAGAATGTGCGGAGGGGAAATTTTCCATTTTTAAAATATAAAAATATCAAATTCTTCTTTATTGAATACCTAATTAGTTAAATTATTAAAAAGATACTATAAAAGAATTTAAAGTTAACCAGCACTAGTACTAAGGGCATTTTGAAATAAAATATATATATAAATAACATATTTTTTTAACACACTTTTATTAGACATTATAAAAATACAATTTAAATGAATTACTACTGTTACGCAACTGAACTCAGCTCTTTCCCTTCTCCCATGCCGCGACCTTTCCTTTCTCATTGGATTCTATAAATAAGCAGAAAGTTGAGAAATTTTGCAGAGAGAGTGTTGGAACTGAAATGGGTTATGACTGCATGAGAAGCTTGCAGTGCTGTGGGAACTTGTCACCACAGCCACACTATCCGTCGATGACGAAAGGGACGTCACAGATTGAAGGATCAGAGGCTAAAGTGGTTTTCAACGTTATGGGAATGACGTGCGCTGCTTGCGCTGGATCCGTCGAGAAAGCCATCAAACGCTTACCGGGGATTCGACAGGCTTTCGTTGATGTCTTGAATGATAAAGCACAGGTTCTTTACTACCCGTCTATGGTTAACGTGAGTATATTTTAACATACGTATATTGATACACTTCATTGAATTTCAGTATTCTTTTATATGATCCTTGGTTTTAATTGCTTCCTTTTATGTATGATTAATTCGTGCTTGGCTTTTCATGATTGCGTATGTTAATTTAAACCACTTTTTACATGTCTTCGTATGTATGCTTTTGGATGTTTAGTTTTGTGAACGTTGCTAAACAAAATCATTAATCTCAAGAAATTTGAAACTTTTTCTATTTTCTATCATTCTGCAAGGGCCGTGGAGAGAGAGACAGAGAGAGAGAGAGAGAAAGAGAGTTTGGTACTTATAGTTGATTATCGTGTAACTCGTATTTATAAATAATTATAGTTGTCAATGAATTACATTTTACATGCACAATTGCACATTATGTTCTTAAAAGGATGTTGTTTATCTGTCACATAGTTCTCTGCTTATCGTACTTGTGATTCTTTATTTTTAGTCTTTTTAAAAAATTTGTTACGTGAGGTTAGCTTATTATTTAGGCACATTTCAACGTAGAACTAAATTATAGATGCAGCTAGAGAGATGTCATATTAAATCATGTTTAAGTATAATCATTCTTCCATTGATTAATGAACACGCATACATGAAACTAACATTCTTATTATTTCCTTAAAAGTCAACAAATTGTGGGCCGAAGATACAATTTTAACCAGGTGATTTATTTAAATTATAATTAACTTTAGATATCGATTATTTTATGCGTGTAAATATTATTATAAATAGATATACACATAAATAATATTTAATAAAAACGGTTCTTATTATAAAATTGTAAGAACTTTAAATGTAAAATTACATATAGATAGTTAAAATTAGGAGTTAATTAATTATCATATGGTTGTTTAAAAAAATTATATATTTTTTATTTTATTCTATAGTTTAAATAAGTGTTAGAATAATACTCGCTAATATAATATTTATTTAACAAAAAAATAATTGTAAGGGTAGACTTTAGAGATTTATATTAACACTTGACATATTGATAGTATATAGTAATATTTTTTTCTAACAAAATTCTTTATTGGTATAATGTATTATTTTTTAGTATAAATCTTTAAAATTTATACTAACAATTTATTTATTTATTGTTAAATAACGACTATATTAATAAAGATCATTTTAACAATTAAAAATATTTGTTAATTTATTAGTAAATGACAATATTGGTAACATGTCATTATTATTAATATGCGTTATTATACATTATGTATGCTTTATATATATATAAACTAAATCAAAGTGAATCGCATTTTACTACATTGTTCATCAATAATGCTGCCCAACCCTCCCTTCCACTTGTGCACGAACACGAATACACTTTTTGTTTTGCCCTCTTTTTCCGCTTTAAAAAGGGATTGGGATTGATTAGCTCTCATATCTTATAGTCCTTTTATTAGTGGATATATATATATATATATATATATATATATATATATATATAGAATGCCTCATCAGACACGAAATCTTCTTTGGCTGATTAGTTTTTGTGAATGGCTGTCGTTGTAGCACTTTTTAATGATATGTTCCACTTTCTTCCTGTAGCCATATTCATCGCTCTCGTTTTCAGATAGCATCTAACAGAAAAATCTTTTAGTTCATCTTCTTATGATGCAATATTATTATCTATTTCGTTAAATTATTTTGTAGGTTCTTAGAATTTTTTAGAAATTATAAGTTTTATACTTTAAAAAATTGTAATTATATCTCTGAATTTTTAAATAGTTCTTATTTGATCCTGATCATATTTTTTGTTACGGTTCTATTAAGTTTATGAATTAATTAAAATTTACAATAATCTTTGCATTTAATAGAATCCTTAGGAAAATATACCTAGAAATCAATTAAAAATTATTTAAACGTTTAGGAATCTAATTAAAAAAAATAATATATAAATTTATTTATAATCTTCCAAAGAATCTAATGACCTACAAAATAATTTAACCCATCTAATTTTATAAATTATGATTTTAGCAATTGAACTACCAATTATTATTGCTAACTAATACATATTCGTCTTACACGAGTACTTTTCAGTATAAATAAAAATTTAAAACAAATTTAAAAAAAGCTATCGCAAAGATTAATTTAATCAATAAGATATTTAATTTTTTGATAGTTAGATTGCATATTTTCGGCATCTAATGCAGTGGTTTGACATGAGCCTACATTAGGCTTTCAGGATCATATGGCTACTTTTTTTTTTTTTTTTGGTGAAAAGTGGGTGTCTAATCAGACGAGGGCCCAACGAAAATCATCTTGGATCATATAACAACTTTAAAATTCATTTCATTTAAAAATAAATATTTTAAACTTTCTTTTTATCCCAATTAGCACTCTTAAATAATTTTTTATTAATTTAGGATTATATGTGTTTAGATTAGCTTAAAAAATTAAATTATTTCAATAATTAACTATGGAAAATTGTATTTGAATATGTTAGATAAAGAGTGATTTTAAAATTAATCTAGATTGTATTAAATAATCACTTTATCTCAATTGAAATTGAAAAAAATATATCATGTGCAATATTAATATTTTAAATAAAAAAATAAAATTTAAATAATAAGTTCATTGCTTTTAATGATAAGTTACAAAATTTTACTTATCTTAAATAATGTTTCTTTTATAGAAAAATTAATCGAAGATCAAAAGTGGATTTCCGAAGATCTCTCGCGAAGTATTACAAAAATCATTTCCCATATATTAATGTATATTTAGTGAATAAAAATGATATTGATTATTTGATTGGTTGGTGCTTGGGTACCAATTAAAATTGTTCACAAACCAAACCATAAAACTTTACGCAGAAGGAGAGGATACGTGAGGCCATTGAAGATGCGGGATTTGAAGCGAATCCCATGGAGGAAGACTCCAACGACACATCCACTCAAATATGTCGAATACACATAAGGGGAATGACTTGTACTTCTTGTTCCTCCACCATTGAATCAGTTCTACAAACCCTTCGTGGGGTGCACAAAGCACAAGTGGCCTTGGCAACTGAAGAAGCTGAAGTTCGCTATGACCCTAAGATTGTCAACCACAATCAGCTAATGGAAGCTATACAAGACACTGGCTTCGAAGCCGTATTAATAAGCACTGGAGAACACATAAGCAAGATAGAACTTAAAATTGATGGCCTTAAAAACGAGCAATCCTTGGATACCATTCAACGATCTATCCATTGCCTCTCAGGTGTTGAAACCATAGATATATATCCTGACATTAACAAAATTGCCATAACTTATAAACCATACATGACAGGACCAAGAACCTTCATTGAAGTCATAGAATCCACAGGATCAGGGTGTTTTAAAGCAGTGATATTTCCAAATGATGGAGGAAGAGAAGCACGTAGACAACAAGAAATCAACCGATACTTCAACCTATTCATATGGAGTTTGGCTTTCACCATTCCGGTGTTTTTGACATCTATGGTGCTTATGTATATACCTGGAGTTAAACGTGTTTTAGATGTCAAAGTTGTGAATATGCTAAAGATTGGACTACTTTTGAGGTGTGAATTTGCCACCCCCGTACAGTTTATCATAGGTAGGAGGTTCTATGTTGGAGCCTATAAAGCATTGCGCAAAGGTTCTGCTAACATGGATGTGTTGATAGCCTTAGGGACAAATGCGGCCTACTTCTATTCTGTGTATGTTGTGGAAAGAGCTTCTTTCTCTCGGCATTTCAAAGGCAACGATTTTTTTGAGACAAGCTCTATGCTTATTTCGTTTATTCTACTTGGGAAGTATTTGGAAGTGTTGGCAAAGGGGAAGACATCTCAGGCCATTGCCAAGCTTATGGACTTGACACCTGAGACAGCAACCTTGTTGACTCTAGATGATGAGGGAAATGTTGTTAGTGAACAACAAATTGATAGCCGGTTGATACAAAAGAACGATGTGATCAAAGTTGTTCCTGGTGCAAAAGTAGCATCGGATGGTCTTGTCATTTGGGGACAAAGTCATGTAAACGAGAGCATGATAACTGGAGAGGCGAGGCCTGTGGCTAAGAAAAAGGGTGATATGGTGATTGGAGGCACTGTAAATGAGAATGGTGTTTTTCACGTTAAGGTGACTAGGGTTGGATCAGAGAGTGCTCTCTTTCAGATTGTTCGACTCGTTGAGTCTGCCCAGATGGGTAAAGCTCCCGTTCAAAAGCTTGCAGACCATATTTCTAAATATTTTGTTCCTTTGGTAAGCGAAGTATTATTAGTATTACTAACTATTTTTCTGATTTTGCTCTTTTCTTTTGTTTGTTTACTAATTCAAGTCTGAGGAATTTCATCCATTCTTACCAGTGTGTCTTTCTGTGCAGGTCATTGTGCTTTCCCTTTCAACATGGTTTTCATGGTTTCTAGCTGGAAAGTTACATGCATACCCAAAATCCTGGATACCATCCTCCATGAACAACTTTGAGCTTGCACTTCAGTTTGGGATTTCGGTCATGGTCATTGCCTGCCCTTGTGCTCTAGGCCTAGCCACTCCTACAGCTGTTATGGTTGGTACAGGAGTTGGTGCAACACAAGGTGTGTTGATCAAAGGGGGGCAAGCATTAGAAAGTGCACACAAGGTCAGTGAGCGGCATTGACAATAACTGTTCCCTTATCTTCAGTTGGGTATCATTAATGGTAGAGAAATTCTATAGGTACACCCTTTGTTGATGGGTGAAATTCCACTTATTCTCACTTCATATATAAATTTCACCAAATAACCAAGTGTTTTACGAAAAAAGATAAAATATGTTGCTAGTGCGTAGTATACTCATCATACAAAATTCACTCACGACTTAATTCCGATATTGCACAGGTGAATTGCATTGTGTTTGATAAGACAGGGACTCTCACAATTGGGAAGCCAGTGGTTGTAACTACAAAACTCTTCAAAAAGATGTCACTTGAAGATTTCTATGAATTTGCTGCTGCAGCTGAGGCAAGCCCTCGTCTATATTCTGCGGCTACTTCTACCTGACTATGAAATGACACTAAAATTTAAATTCTATTGTTGTATCTATATTAGGCGAACAGCGAACATCCAATAGCCAAGGCCATTGTTGAGCACGCCAAAAGGATCATAGCAGATGAACACAATCATCCCTGGCCAGAAGCACGGGACTTTGTTTCTGTTTCAGGTCATGGAGTGAAGGCCATTGTTCGAAACAAGGAAATAATGGTTGGGAATAAAAAATTGATGGTGGACCATAACATACTCATTTCAACCGACGCTGAAGAAACGCTAGCAGAAGCTGAAAGCCTAGCTCAAACTGGGATATTAGTATCTTTGGATGGAGAAGTTGCTGGAGTTATGGCTGTATCTGATCCATTGAAACCTGGTGCCAAAGAAGTTATTTCCATTCTTAATTCCATGAAAATCAGAAGCATCATGGTGACAGGTGATAATTGGGGAACTGCCAATTCCATAGCCAGACAAGCTGGTATTGAAACTGTTATGGCAGAGGCTCAACCTGAGATTAAGGCAACTAAAATAAAAGAATTGCAGGTAAATTACTAAATCACTGTCCCAAATGATTGCTTAAATCAGTCAAAAACCACGTGCCTCTCAAATTTTGTGACATTCGTGTAACCTTTGCCAACTTTTTAATAGGATGAATTTTTTTTATCAAATCAAGTTATTAAATCAATTGATGACATATAGGTATTTTTTTTCTAACATCAAGTAATCTTTATTATAAACCATCAAGCCAACAAATCAACCAATATAAGATTGTTCGAGTTTAATTTATGAATTAGTTAACGTGGATCAACTTTACATGAATATACTATTAGCAATGTTATTTAACTCAAATTTTACCTCTTATAAAAATATATGATGTGCAAATTTTTGTATTGTTATTAAAAATATGTTAAATATTACCCTTATATTATAGTTGGATTTGAGAACTTGATGATATTAGTATAATTTTAGAGTACAACTTTAATTTTAGTCTTAATATATTTTGGAGATATATACATATACCAAAAAAATAATTAAAATGTATTGTGAATTTTTAATTATTGACATACATAATGGCAGAGTTGCGGGTACAATGTGGCAATGGTGGGAGATGGCATAAACGACTCTCCAGCACTTGTGGCAGCTGATGTTGGAATGGCAATAGGTGCGGGCACAGACATAGCTATTGAGGCAGCTGACATTGTTCTGATGAAGAGCAACTTGGAGGATATAATAATTGCTATTGACCTTGCAAACAAAACTTTCTCTCGTATACGTCTGAACTACATTTGGGCTTTGGGTTACAACTTGCTAGCCATCCCTATTGCTGCGGGCATCCTTTACCCATCCACTAAATTCCGATTACCACCATGGATTGCTGGAGCTGCAATGGCTGCCTCTTCTATCAGTGTTGTTTGCTCCTCCCTCTTGTTAAAGAATTACAAGAGACCAAGCAAGCTAAACAATTTGGAGATAAATGGTATCAAGATTGAATAATCAACGTGTCAATTGTATGTGTATCCTTTGTTGGGAGCAACTTTTATTTTTATTTTATAGGGGGCTTTTGATAATTCAAGACGTAAGGTAGGAAATATTGGATAAAATGGATATTCCGACTTTTCCAATACAATACTAACGAATATGTACAACAATGCTACGTTTCAAATGTGAAGATTGCTTAAATGAGTGAAGTAATTCACATCTTTATTTAATATTTATGTTAGTTTTCGACTGAAAATGTGACATCTTTATTTTAATTATTATTTTTTCATATTTATTTTTTAAAATTTATTTTTTTATTACATCAATCATATTTCTTTTTATCTTTCTTTAATATTTTGTAAGGAACCTCAATTCAAAACTGCAAATTGAAATTAATATTTTTTGCACTTGTATTATTTAGTCTAAATATTATCAACCAAAATTACTAATCAACTATGAAAATCTATTAGTTAAATAAAGTACAGAAGGATTAAGCAATAAAGAGGAAGAGACTATGGAGAGAAAAGAAGAGTCTCACCAACTAAAACCACACCCTCTCATTCTCACCACCCATATTATATTTCTCTTTGCTTCAAACAAAATCCTTTTGGTTGGAGTTAGTTGCTCTTCTACATAAGCTTCGTTTCAGTTCTTGAATTCTTGTATCTTTTGTCATGTGTCCTTTTTTGCTAACTAACTCAATGAATACATTTTCTATGTTAGCACATTTCTTTTGTCATAACATTACCTCCCCCATTAAAACTAACTTTATCCTCAAGGTTGAAGTTTGGGTACTATTGTTGGATGCAAGTAAAATCCTTCCAAATAGCCTCTACTATAGGTAATTTGTCCCATTAAATTAACAATTATGTGATGGATTGACCTCCTTTTATTACAGTTCTAGATTGCAAGACATTGATAGGGTGTAATTAGTAGTTAAAACAAGCATAGGAATGGTTTAACTTGAAAAACATGAAAAACTGAATGAGGAAATTGTAATTTATATGCAATATTTTCCACTTTAGTAATAATAGGAAATGGTCCAAAGTATCTCATGCTTAACTTCTCATTCTTTCTAAATACTGAATGTTGTTTATAAGATCAACTTAATTAACATTCTCTTAAAAATCCACATCCTTTCATTATTTATCAGCTTAAGTCTTCATTTGCTAAGCTTTCTATTATTTAGTTTTCAACTGAGTGAGTAAGGCATCTCATTGTTGTAGTGTTTGTTAATCAGTTGAGGAATCGACAACATTTATTGTACATGTAGTTAAGGTACGAGGCTCTTGGCCATAAACTATCTTAAAGGTATCATCCTTACACTACCATGAAAAAAGGTATTATACCTAATGAAGAACTTTAAATGAAAACTTAAGATTTTGAAATGTAAAGCAACAAAGATACATCTCTGGGCATTTGTTAAAGGCCTTAGATTGTCTATCCAAATGTGGATGATACGTAGAGCTCATGAAAAGGGTAGTGTCTTGCAACCCAACCAAACTTTGCTAGTAAAGATCTTGTTGTGGTTAAATATAATAGGAATGTCTTGTGTGAATTTTCTTAGGGTAAAGGCTTGATTAGGATTGAAGGGAAAAGAGGTTAAAGTCACCCAGATTGATCAAGTCTCACTCAAACAAGACATTCCTTACTTAAGCGAGAATACATGTTGTAGACCTAGCTCCATGCTTGAATCTCGCCTGAGTGAGAATGACTTTTGTTTGAGCGAAAAGCATTGCTGTAAACTTAACTCTCTACCTGATTTTTGCTTAAACGAGAAGTGTCTTACTTGAGCGAGAATCCCTTGCCAAGACTGAGTAAGACCTGTGGTTTGAGCTAGAATTCTCACCTGAGTGATAATTCACTTATTACTCATTAAGAAAGAAGATTCAGCTCAAGAAAAAAAAGAGCCCCATATTTTGACCTAATTTTAAAGTGCAAAATAATGGAGGAGGCTTAGGAGAGCGATGAAGATCATTAGGGAACCATTTTCTAAATCATTTTCCTTTATTTTTCCTTATGGTGTTTTAATATAATTTTTCATTTTCATATGTTATTGGTGATTTCATTTTGTTTGTAATGCTTGATTCTACTTTATGAGAAATAATTCATGATTTGGGAATCTAGGGTGAGTTGGAAAGTTATCTTGGAACCATGTTTCAATTAAACTCACACAATGTGTTGAAATTGTAGGAATAGATTTCAATGTGTTATATCCTTAATAACTCTTGATTGCAATGCTAGAGTTTTTATTAAATAAATAAGGAATTATTATTCAGGAAATTACTCTTATAAACTTGGGTGCAAGAAATCAAAATAAAGAAATATAATGAGAATGCGTCTATAACTATGAAACTTGTTTAATGTATGTAATTACCAAAATATGAGAAGAATGAATGATGAAGTCCAATTCCCAATTTCATCATTCAATTTCATCATATTAGTTTAAATCATTTTCATTTGTGTCTTGCATTTAGTTCATGAACTCAAACAATCAATATTTAACTCAAAATCACTTGTGCATTTGTGAATACTTAGAAATTTATTATTTTAATTAGGATAATAAAAATTGCGTGAATATCTTGCAATACATGTGGATACAACAATCCTTGTACTCTCTACATCAAAAACTTGGTGTGCTTGCCAAAGTAAAATAAAAATCTCAAAAACAATCTATGTAATTTAAGTATGTTATTCATAAACACCTCAACACTTCCTTATTAGTATGATCAGACTTAAGAGCAATAAAATGGGCATATTTCGAAAGTCTATCCACCATTATTAAAACAATAATATACCCAAAAGACAATGCAATCCAATAATAAAATCTATAACAATATCTTCCAATAGTTATTGCATATTGGAATTAGTAGAGGTTGTAAGAGTCCTGAAGAAAGGAAGGTAGATTGTTTGGCTTGTTGACATATAAACATTGCTGCATATAACTCGCTAATAAATTGAGAAGTGATTCCAGCAGTAGTTTGTGCAACACCCACATGACCACTTATTAGTGATGTGTGATATTCTCCCAAAATTTGAGAAATTAATAGGCTATGTGGTGGTATAAACAATCAATCTTTCCAGTACAAAAGGTAATCCCAAATAATAAGATGAAGATTTGGTTGGTTGTTGACTTTACATAATAGCAATAGGGGGTCTTCATTTTTTGCTAGTCTTAATTCCTTCAAAAATTGAAACATAAATTTAGACCAGGCCATAAAAAAAAGATTAGACATCTACTACATGGGTTCTCTTTGCCAGGTTTATATTCAATTATAAAATCATAACCTAAAAATGTACATAGCCAAAAAAATTTGCATTGGAGTTTGGATGGATTGATTAGTCAAACTTTTCAAACTTTGTTGATTTGTTCAAGTAATGAAATAATGTCTCAACAAATAGTGTTGGAACTTGACTAGAGTTTTGGTAGTAACATACAATTCCCTTGCACACATGGATTGCTTTTGCATATTGGGAGATAATTATCTGGAAAAATATGCAATTGGATGGTTAGTTTGGCTTAACACTATCCTAATACCAACACTAGATGCATTTGTTTCTAGTATAACTAGTTGGACAAAATTAGGGAAAGCCAAAACAGGAACTCGTATGACTACATGTTTCAAATTAAATGTTGTTTTCATAGAATAAGTCCAACAAAATTCACTTTTCTTTAATAGATTAGTCAAAGGCAAACCAGTTACAACATAGTTTTTTTATGAAACATCTATAATAATCGACTAAGTCCAGAAAACTTCTTAATTATTTTACCTTAGTGGAAACAGGTAAATCTACCACAACTTGAATCTTTGACTTATCCATAGCAACATCATCACCAAATATTTAGTGTCCTAAATAGTCCACTTAAGTTAACGAAAAAGAGTATTTAGAGAGCTTAACATGTAATTTGTGGTGTTGTAAAATGAGTATAATAGATTCTAAATGTTGTCAATGAACATGCCAAGTAATGCTATAAACCAAAATGTCATTAAGGAAAATGAGAACATATTTTCTAAGCAAACCTTCAAAATATGGTTCATGAGTTATTGAAAGATTACATGAGTAGTAGTCAATTCAAATAGCATCAAAAGTCATTTATAATGGCTATGATGACTCTAAAAGGCAATCTTGTGCCTATCTTTTGGCCTCATCAAAATTTAATGATAATTGTACGTTAAGTCCAATTTGAAAAAATATGTATAACTCATCAAGTAATTCATTCACAGTTGGCATTAGAAAATAATCATTCATCATTATAACATTCAAAATTTATAATCAGTACAAAATACTCTATGTGGAATCTTTCTTCTTAACTAACAAGATTAGAGAAGAAAATAAACTATTGCTAGGTTAGATGATGTCATTATCTAACATTTCACAGACCATCTCTTTTATTTGTTCCTATTGACTATAAAGGTATCAATATGGTCATACTTTCATTGCCAATTTACCTTCCAACAAGGGAATAACATGGTCTCATTCCCTTATAGGTGGTAGTTCGTGAGCAATACTCATCGAAAAGTAATAAAGGAGTTTTAAATTAAGTTTATGAAATATCATTGAACAAGGATTATTTTCAAATACCAAAAATATCTTAAAGTGATAAAGCAACACACTTTCGATTAGATTGTTGAAAAAAAATCTAGGACGTATGCTTTTACCTTTACACTTTTCTATACTTACTTTTAACTTAATTCTAATTTTAGTTTTCTTATTATTGTCAATCATTCATACAAATTGTATCAACACCCAATAGTCATGCAATATTAATAATCTTTTCTCTAAATTGTTATCTCCAATGGTTATGTAAGATAAAAATAAGAGAAAGTATGAAACATTTATGAGCTTGTTAATTTAATAATGATTTGAAGAGAAAAATTCAGCTTGGTCGACATAATTATTTGGCTCATTTTATCTTATAGGTACGACTCCCTACAATGTAATTAATTATGAGATGCTAAGAGTGGTCAATTCTTAAAATACATTTATATGTAATATGAGGTCTTAGTGGTTGA